ATGGATAAAAATTTACCAAGCAAATGGAAAACAAAAGAAAGCAGGGGTTACAACCCTAGTTACTAACAAAACAGACTTTAAACCAACAAGGATCAAAAATGAAAAAAAGGCATTACATAATGGTAAAGGGTTCAGTTCAATATGAAGAGTTAACTATCCTAAATGTATATGCACCCAATGCAGGAGCATCCAGATTCATAAAGCAAGTACTTAGAGACCTACAAAGATACATAGACTTCCACACAATAATAGTGGGAGATTTTAACACCCCACTGACAATATTAGACAGATTATTGGGACAGAAAATTAACAAAGATATTCAGGACCTGAAATCAACACTGGATCAAGCAGACCTGACATTTACAGAACTCTCCACCCAAAAACAACGGAGTATACATTCTTCCTATTGCTACGCAGCATTTACTCCAAAACTGGTTACATAATTGAAAGTAAAACACTCAGCAAATGCAAAAGAAAAAAAAAACCTGAAATTATAACAGTCTTTCAGACCACAACATAATCAAATTAGAATTCAAGATTAAGAAATTTGCTCAAAACCACACAACTACATGGAAATTGAACAACCTTCTCCTGAATGATTCCTGGGTAAATAATGAAATTAATGCAGAAATCAAGAAGCTCTTTGAAACTAATGAGAACAAAGAGACAACGTAGCAGAATCTCTGGAATGCAGCTAAAGCAGTGTTATGAGGGAAATTTATAGCACTAAAATGCCCAGAACAAAAAGCTAAGAAGATGTTAACTCAGCAAACCTAAATCCCAACTGAAAGAAGTAGACGAGCAAGGGCAAACAAATCCCAAACCTAGAGGAAGACAAGAAATAAGTAAAATCAGAGTTGAACTCAGGGAAATTGAGATACAAAATACCACTTGCAAGTTCCATGAATCCAGAGTCTGGTTTTTTGAATGAAATAAAAGAGACCACTAGCTAAACTAATGGTGAAGAAAAGGGAGAAGAATCAATAAACACAATCAGAAATGATAAGGGTGATACCACCACTGACCCCACAGAAATATAAACAATCATCAGAGAATACTATTAAACACCTATATGCACATAAACTAGAAAATCCAGCAGAAATTGATAGATCCCTGAACACATACACCCTTCCAAGACTGAACCAGGAAGAAATTGAATCACCACATTTAAAAACACCACATTTTATTTTAAATCTATGTGAAGCTATTGGAGGGATTTAAGCAGGAGTGTGATGGAGTCCAATTTATATTTTTAAGAGATTACTTGGACTTCTCCATGGAGAATAGACTTCTTGTGAGGCAAGAGTGGAACCAGTTAGGAGGTTGTCTTGCAGTTGTCTAGGGAGAGATGACTGTGCCTTAAAACAGAGAGAGTGATAAACTGTCGAGAAGCTGAAAATGAAAGCTTTTTTAGAAAATATTTATTTTCCTATTTTTGGGAAATAAAGGTGAAGTGAGCCAATGTGTCTGTAGTCCAATTAGAAACACGGAGTGTAGAGATGAAAAGAAACCTTAGACTAATTTTTTGAATTTTCTCACCTCATACAGAAAGTCCCTCTGCTACATCTTTGACATATGGCCATCGAACCATGCTGAAAATCCTCAGTCATGAGCAACTGACCACACTCCACCACCTCTACCACTATGAGAAAGGAGGCTTACTGACAGGGATATGAGTTTCCATACATGAAAAGAATATGGGCATTATTATCTCAGTTTATAAAATAAGGAAACCCCTGCAGAAGTTAACGTGGTTCTCAAGACAGCATTGTAAATGAGTAACAGAGGAAGGACTAGAACTAGTTCTTTCAATTCCCAGTCCAATAGTAGGCAAAGATGAGTGATAATCCATCTATTGAATTCATTTGTCCTAATAACTAAAGGTATTCCTTCCTAACAAAATGTCTTTTTGTTAGGAAGCTCCTGCTGAGCTTCAAAGCTTCTCTTCTCAGGAAAATCCAATGCAGATGAACCTGAAAGTGACAAGTAGGAGGTCACCGGCAGGTGTCCCTTTCTCCTGACCACATATGCCATTTGGGACTCAGCAGTCTGGTATGGCTAGTCCACCAAGAACTACTGGCAAAGGGAAAAACAATCAAAGTTGAACTGATGGAACCTGGTACACTCCCCTGAAAGGAATATGGCAGCCCAAGGACGGATGTCTGAGGAATCTCTAAAAATCAAATGAGGCTGAGAGACCTGCATGCAGTAAATTCAGTCAACAAGGAAATACAATCATTTTGGTAGAAATGGTGCCTGCTAATAATCAGCACTATAAACTTGACAATGACTAATAAAAGCTAAGAAGCCTCTTGAGGAGGAATGTTGTAAAACCGGAAAAAGCCTGTTAGTTAAAGTCTGGAGATCCAGATTCTTTTCCAGGCTTGAATTCTACTAGGTTCTGCTGGGGCAGGAAGGGGTGAATGTGCAGGGGTGGGTGCTGGGGTGGGGGGGCAGTTCAGATTAATGGTTTACTCCCTGGGGTTTCTGGAAGAATTCTATAAAGATGGCTTCACCACTGACTTCCCTCTTTTAAAGAGTTAAGTAAAAACCACATATTTATCTGCAATTTGTATGACTAAAAGGGTAAATATACATCAGCAATTCTGATGGAAGTTGTATATGTTTTTAGTTAAATGGAAAAAAGTAATTATTTCTTAATAAAACAAGAAGAAATCTTTCCAAAAGATGTCAGACTGAATTAGGATGGCCCTCACAAACAAAGCAAAGGGAAAAATAAAAATGTTTATGCTTAACCACATTCAAAAATCAATGACTGGAGCAGCCTTTTTGAGGCAGTGCAGTAGAGAGTGACATTGGTTTCCATTGTTGCCTATTTGTGGTAAATATGTGATGTGAAAACTTAGGCCCTGGCTGGCAAGATGGTCAAATAGGAACAGCTCCTATCTGCATCTCCCAGCAAGATCAACACAAAAGGCAGACGATTTCTGCATTTCCAACTGAGGAACTCAGTTCATCTCATTGGGACTGGTTGGACAGTGGGTACAGCCCAGGGAGAGTGAGCCAAAGAAAGGTAGGGTACTGCCTCACCCAGGAAGCACAAGGGGTCGAGGAATTTCCCTCCCCTAGCTAAGGGAAGCCGTGAGAGACTGTACCACTGTACCGGGAGGAACAGTGCACTCCAGCCCAGATACTGCACTTTTTCCGTGGTCTTTGGAACCAGCAGACCAGGAGATTCCCTCTGGTGCCTATGCCACCAGGGCCTGGGATTTCAAGCACAAAACTGGGTGGCCATTTGGGCAGACACCAAACTAGCTCCAGGAGTTGCTGGGTTTTTTTTTTTTTTTTTTTTCTTACCCCAGTGGCACCTGGAATGTCAGCGAAACAGAACCATTCATGCCCCTGGAAAGGGGGCTGAAGCCAGGGAGTCAAGTAGTCTGGCTTGGTAGGTCCCACCTCCATGGAACCCAGCAAGCTAAGATCACTGGCTTCAAATTCTCGCTGCCAGCACAGCAGTCTGAGCTCGGCCTGGGATGCTCAAGCTTGGTGGGGGAAGGGGCATCCGCCATTGCTGAGGATTGAGTAGACAGTTTTCCCCTCACAGTGTAAACAAAGCCCCCAGGAAGTTTGAACTGAGTGAAGCCCACTGCAGCTCAGCAAGGCCACTGCAGCCAGACTGCTCTCTAGAGCTCTCCTCTCTGGGCAGGGCATCTCTGAAAAAAAGGCAGCAACCCCAGTAAGGCACTTATAGACAAAACCCCCATCTCCCTGGGACAGAGCACCTGGGGGAAGGGGTGGCTGTGGGCACAGCATCAGCAGACTTAAACATCCCTGCCTGACAATTCTGAACAGAGCAGCGGATCTCCCAGCACAGCGTTCAAGCTCTGATAAGGGAGAGACTGCCTCCTCAAGCGTGTCTCTGACCCATATGTATCCTGACTGGGAGACACCTCCCAGTAGGGGCTGACAGACACTTCATATGTGTCTGTCAGCTCTGGTTGGCATCTGGCAGGTGCCCCAAGGGACAAAGCTTCCAGAGAAAGAAACAGGCAGCAATCTTGGCTGTTCTGTAGCCTCTGCTGGTGATACCCAGGCAAACAGGGTCTAGAGTGGATCCCAGCAAACTCCAGAAGACCTGCAGCAGAGGAGCCTGACTGTTAGAAGGAAAACTAACAAACAGAAAGGAATGGTGTCAACATCAACAAAAAGGAGGTCCACTCAGAGACACCATCTGAAAGTCACCAACAGCAAAGACCAAAGGTAGATAAATCCACAAAGATCGGGAGAAACCAGCGCAAAAAGGTTGAAAATTGCAAAAACCAGAATGCCCCTTCTCCTCCAAAGGATTGCAACTCTTCACCAGCAAGGGAACAAAACTCGACAGAGAATGAGTTTGACGAATTGACAGAAGTAGGCTTCAGAAGGTGGATAGTAACAAACTCCTCCAATCTAAAGGAGCATGTTCTATCCCAATGCAAGGAAGCTAAGAATCTTGAAAAAAGGTTAGAGGAATTGCTAACTAGAATAACCAGTTGCGAGAACACAAATGACCTGATGGAGCTGAGAAACACAGCACAAGAACTTGATGAAGCATGCACAATTATCAATAGCTGTATCAATCAAGCTGAAGAAAGGATATCAGAGACTGAAGATCAACTCAATGAAATAAAGCAAGATGACAAGGTAAGAGGGAAAAAAGGTGAAAAGAAATAAACAAAGCCTCCAAGAAACATGGGACTATGTGAAAAAAAACAAACTTACATTTGATTGGCGTACCTGAAAGTGATGGGGAGAATGGAACCAAGTTGGAAAACACTCTACAGGATGTTATCCAGGAGAACTTCCCCAACCTAGCAAGGCAGGTCAACATTCAAATTCAGGAAATATAGAGAACACCACAAAGATACTCTTCAAGAAGTTTAACGCCAATACACATAATCATCAGATTCACCAAGGTTGAAATTAAGAAAAAAATATTAAGGGCAGCCGGAGAGAAAGGTCAGGTTACCCACAAAGGGAAGTCCATCAGATTAACAGTGGGTCTCAGTCAAGATGGCAGTTACCATGTTCCGGGCTGCACTGCCGGGATGGAGAACCGGTGTCCAGCGGGGCTGCGGGCTACGGCTGTTGAGTCAGACCCAGGGACCTCCAGATTACCCCAGCTTTGTGGAGTCTGTGGATGAATATCAGTTTGTGGAGCGCCTGTTACCAGCTACAAGGATCCCAGGTCACCCAAAACATGAACATTATCCTACCCCTAGTGGCTGGCAGCCTCCCAGAGACCCCCCACCCAACCTGCCCTACTTTGTACGACGCTCTCGGATGCACAACATCCCTGTCTACAAGGACATCACGCATGGCAACCGGCAGATGACTGTGATCCAGAAAGTGGAAGGGGACATTTGGGCCCTGCAGAAAGATGTGGAAGATCTTCTGAGCCCACTGCTGGGGAAGACACCCGTCACCCAGGTCAATGAGGTGACAGGTACCCTGCAAATCAAGGGCTACTTTGTCCAGGAGCTTAAAGCCTGGCTCTTGGAGAAAGGCTTCTGAGGCCTAGCTGAGCAGCCTGCATGTCAGTGTGCCCTGCGGATCAAGTCTAGGGGGCCTCAGGAGGAGGGAGGTGGGTGTTGGAGCCCCTGAGACAGGGGATACAGAAACTAAGGCTAAAGGACTTTGGGGTCAGGCCTTGCTTGCATAAAGGAGAAAACTGGACCCTATGTACATGCTGGGGGAGAGTGGCTAATGTGGGAGACCAAATAGGAATAACCAGGCTAATGGGGGGTGTCAGCAGCTTTCTCTCCCTCCTATCTTGGCCTGTTGTTTTTTGTTTTTTGAGATGGAGTCCCACTCTGTTGCCCAGGATGGAGTGCAGTGGCATGATCTTGGTTCACTGCAACTTCCACCTCTGGGTTCAAGCAGTTCTCCTGCCTCAGCCTGCTGAGTAGCTGGGATTACAGGCACCCGCCACCACAATCTGCTAATTTTTGTATTTTTAGTAGAGATGAGGTTTCACCATGTTGGCCAGGCTGGCCTCAAACTCCTGACTCCAAGTGATCTGCCCACCTCGGCCTCCCAAAGTGCTGGGATTATAGGCGTGAGTCATGTGCCCTGCCCACCTTGGCCTGTTTTGTTTTCCTTTCCTTGGGCTCAGCAATTCAAATTCTAGTTGTTATTTGGTGGAAGCAGTAGCCCAAACCAGTTTAGGGGAAGGTAGCACAGGGCAGAGCCACTGGGCACTTTGTTTCCTTGGCCCTCCAAAGCTCATTGTTGCAAACATCCCCAAGCCCTTGCTCTAGGCCAGATCTTGTTTGGTACAGGCTATGAACACAGATGACTCGGGCATGGGGCTTGGAGATCTTCTGTTCGAAGTACAGTGCTGGCACTGGGGCACAGAGTGCCCACGTTAGCCCTGGGCTCTTTCTCATAGAGAGGTAGGAGGCCCATTCTTGGTCACTGTTCCATTGCAGACCAGACTTGGCTGGCCCGACCACAAGGGAGTGGCTGGGAACTCCTCACAGCCAGCATAGGACCATCCTCCCCAGCCTGCTGACCTGGAATCAAGGCTGGGGAGGGGTTTGCAGGCAGGAATACGCTGACCTTTAACCCTGCCATCCCATCCCAACCCCAGCTCACCAGCCTTCATTGGAGTCACAGAGGCTAAAGGCCTGAGACTCCACCCTACCCCCAAACTGGCTAAGACAGCTTCCAGTTCCTGGCTCCCCAACTTGGTCTCTGCCCTGAGGCAGGGCACTGAACTCTGGGCTGCTTCTCTATGTGTAAAATGGGCACATCTTCCTAATCTGTTAATGGTCAATAGTGCTGGCTTCCATGGAAACCCTAACTCCTGGAGATTCCATTCCATTCTCAAGTGTACAGCCACAGCAAGGAGCCCGACACTGATTTTATTGATTCCATGAGACAAACCCCACCAACTGTTAATGCAAGTTTTTATTTGGCTGTATATGCAATTTAAGCTATTAAAATTTGTACAATATTTACAAATTAAATAATCATCTGAAAAAAACAAAAAAACCAAAAAAAACCAGTGGGTCTCTTGGCAGAAACCCTACAAGCCAGAAGAGAGTGGGGGCCAATATTCAACATTCTTCAAGAAAAGAATTTTCAACCCAGAATTTCATATCCAGCCTAGCAAAGCTTCATAAGTGAAAGAGAAATAACATCCTTTACAGACAAGCAAATACTGACAGATTCTGTCACCACCAGGCCTGCCTTACAAGAGTTTCTGAAGAAAGCACAAAACATGGAAAGTAACAAGTACCCAGTCACTGCAAAAACATACCAAATTGTAAAGACCATAGACACTATGAAGAAACTGCATCAACTAATGAGCAAAATAACCAGCTAGCATCATAATGACAGGATCAATTTCACATATAACAAAATTAACCTGAAATATAAATGGGCTAAATGCTCCAATTAAAAGACACAGATTGTCAACTGGATAAAGAGTCAAGACCCATTGGTGTGCCATATTCAGGAGACCCATCTCATGTGCAAAGACATGCATAGGCTCAAATAAAGGGATGGAGGAAGATCTACCAATCAAATGGAAAACAAAAAAAAAGTAGGGATTGCAATCCTAATCTCTGATAAAACAGATTTTAAGCCAACAAAAATCAAAGGAGACAAAGAAGGCCATTAAATAGTGGTAAAGGGATCAATGCAACAAGAGAGTTAACTATCCTAAATATGTATGCACCCAGTACAGGAGCACCCAGATTCATAAAGCAAGCTCTTAGAGACCTACAAAGAGACTTAGACTCCCACACAATAATAGTGGGAGACTTTAACACCCCACTGTACCCACTGTCAATATTAGACAGACCAACAACACAGAAAATTAACAAAGATATCCAGGACCTGAATTCAGCTCTGGACCAAGTGGGCCTATTAGACATCTACAGAACTTTCCACCCCCAAAAAACAGAATATACATTCTTCTCAGTACCACACTGTACTTTTTCTAAAAGTGACCACATAATTGAAAGTAAAACACACCTCAGCAAATGCAAAAGAATGGAAATCATAACAAACAGTCTCTCAGACCACAGTGCAAGCAAATTAAAACTCAGGACTAAGAAACTCACTCAAAACCATACAACTACATGGAAACTGAACAACCTACTCCTGAATGAATACTGGGTAAATAATGAAATTAAGGCAGAAATAAAGATGTTCTTTTACACCAATGAGAACAAAGACACAACGTACCAGAATCTCTGGGAAACATTTAAAGGAGTATGTAGAGGGAAATTTATAGCACTAAATGCCCACAAGAGAAAGCAGAAAATATCTAAAATCAACACCCTAACATCACACTTAAAAGAACTAGAGAAGCAAGAGCAAACAAACTCAAAAGCAAGCAGAAGACAAGAAATAACCAAGATCAGAGCAGAACTGAAGGAGATAGAGACACAAAATACCCTTCAAAAAATCAGTGAATTCAGGACTTGGTTTTTTGAAAAGAACAACAAAATAGATAGATGCTATCCAGACTAACAAAGAAAAAAAGAGAGAAGAATAAAATAGATGCAATAAAAAAATGATAAAGGGGATATCAACACTGATCCTGCAGAAATACAAACTACCATAAGAATGTGATAAACAGCTCTACCCAAATAAACTAGAAAATCTAGAAGAAATGGATACATTTCTGGACACATACGGCCTCCCAAGTCTAAACAAGGAAGATCCCTGAATAGACCAACAAGTTCTTAAGTTGAGGCAGCAATTAATAGCCTACCAACCAAAAAAAGTCCAGGACCAGATGGATTCATAGCCACATTCTACCAGAGCTACAAAGAGGAACTGGTACCATTCCCTTCTGAAACTATCCCAAACGACAGAAAAAGAGAGAATCCTCTCTAACTCATTTTATGAGGCCAACTTCATCCTGATACCAAAATCTGGCAGAAACACAACAACAACAACAAATTTCATGCCAATATCCCTGATGAACAATGATGCAAAAATCCTCGATAAAATGCTGGCAAACTGAATCCTGCAGCACATCAAAAAGCTTATCCACCATGATCAAATGGGCTCCATCCCTGGGATGCAAGGCTGGTTCAACATACACAAATCAATAAATGTAATCCATCACATAAACAGAACCAGTGACAAAAACCATGTAATCATCTCAATAGATGCAAAAAAGGCCTTCGACAAAATTCAACAGCCCTTCATTCTAAAAACTCTCAATAAACTAGGTATTGATGGAATGTATCTCAAAATAACAAGAGCTATTTATGACAAACCCCAGCCAATATCATACTGAATGGGCAAAAACTGGAAGCATTCCCTTTGAAAACCAGCAAAAGACAAGGATGCTCGCTCTCACCAGTCCTATGCAACATACTAGTGGAAGTTCTGTCCAGGGCAATCAGGTAAGAGAAAGAAATAAAGGTATTCAAATAGGAAGAGAGGAAGTCAAATTGTCTCTGTTGACAGATGACATGATTGTATATTTAGAAAATGACATTGTCTCAGTCCAAAATCTCCTTAAGTTGATAAGCAAATTCAGCAAAGTCTCAGGATCAGTGTGCAAAAATCAGAAGCATTCCAATACACCAATAACAGACAAAAAGAGACCCAAATCATGAGTGAATTCCCATTCACAATTGCTGCTAAGAGAAGAAAATAACTAGGAATACAACTTACAAAGGATGTGAAAGACCTCTTCAAGGAGAACTACAAACCACTGCTCAACAAAATAAAAGAGGACACAAACAAATGGAAAAACATTCCATGCTTATAGATGGGAAGAATCAATATCATGAAAATGGCCATACTGCCCAAAGTAATTTATAGATTCAATGCTATCCCCATCAAGCTACCACTGACTTTCTTCACAGAAGTGGAAAAAAACTATTTTAAAGTTCATACGGAACCAAAAAAGAGCTCACATAGCCAAGACAATCCTAAGCAAAAAGAACAAAGCTGGAGGCATCATGCTACCTGACTTCAAACTACACTACAAGACTACAGTAACCAAAACAGCATGGTATTGGTAGTAAAACACATATATAGGCCAATGGAACAAAATAAAGGCCTCAGAAATAGCACCACACATCTACACCCATCTGATTTTTGACAAACCTGACACAAACAAGAAATGGGGAAAGGATTCCCTACTTAATAAATGGTGTTGGGATGCACTGGCTAGCCATATGCATAAAGCTGAATCTGGATCCCTTCCTTACACCTTATACAAAAATTAACTCAAGATGGATTAAAGACTTAAACATAATACCTAAAACCATAAAAACCCTAGAAGAAAATCTAGGCAATACCATTCAGGACATAGGCACAGGCAAAGACTTCATGACCGAAACACCAAAAGCAATGGCAATGAAGGCCAGAATTGACAAATGGGATCTAATTAAACTAAACAGCTTCTGCACAGCAAAAGAAACTATGATCAGAGTGAAAAGGAAACCTACAGAATGGGAGAAAATTTTTGCAATCTACCCATCTGATAAAGGGCTAATATCCAGAATCTACAAAGAACTTAAACAGATTTACAAGAAGAAAATAACCCCATCAAAAAGTTCATGAAGGATATGAACAGACACTTCTTAAAATAATATATTTATGCAGCCAACAAGCATATGAAAAAAAAAAAAAAGCTCATCATCACTGGTCATTAGAAATGCAAATCAAAACCACATTAAGATACCATCTCATGCCAGTTAGAATGACAATCATTAAAAGGGAAGCAACAGATGCCGAAGAGGATATGGAGAAATAGCAACACTTTTATACTGTTGGTAGGAGTGTAAATTAGTTCAACCATTGTGGAAGACAGTGTGGCAATTCCTCAAGAATCTAAAACTAGAAATATCATTTGACCCAGCAATCCTATTACTGGGTAAATACCCAAAGGATTATAAATCATTCTACTATAAAGACTCATGCACACGTATGTTTATTACAGCACTTTTCACAATAGCAAAGACTTGGAACCAACCCAAATGCCCATCAGCGATAGACTGGATAAAGAAAATGTGGCACATATACACCATGGAATACTATGCAGCTGTAAGAAAGGATGAGTTCATGTCTTTTGCAGAAACACAGATGAAACTGGAAACCATCATTCTCAGCAAACTAACACAAGAACAGAAAACTAAACACCATGTGTTCTCACTCACAAGTGGGAGTTGAACAATGAGAACACATGGACACAGGGAGGGGAATATCTCACTGGGGCCTGTAGTGGGGATTGGGGGCTAGGGAAGGGATAGCATTAGGAGAAATACCTAATGTAGATGACGGCTTTATGGGTGCAGCAAACCACCATGGCACATGTATACCTGTGTAACAAACCTGCACGTTCTGCACATGTACTCCAGAATTTAAAGTATAATAGAAAATATATGTGTGTGATGTGTAATTTTAAAAGGGTAGTGCTCATCTGACTCTTTGTCTTTCAAAACCTACTGTTTTCCTGGCATTGCTCAAGACGAAGGAAATACAGTGGCGGAGAGGTAGGAAACAATTTTCTTTTAAAGTTTGGCAGTAGAGATTAAGGGAAATTACAGAAAGAATCCTTAATGGTAAATAGGTTAGAAACCACAGGGTTGATAATCTTCCTGTTTCCTATCAGCTTTAACAGTCCAGAGGCTCTATACTGTTAAAAATTTCAGAGAAGGATTCATCTGGGGTGACATAAAAAGATCAAATTCTTTTGTATCCAGGATGTTCCCCAGCTCCTCTATGTTTCAGGTATAACCAACCCCATCACAGGGCTATCTTCTGGGTTACAGCCACTTTCAAGTGGTTTACTGCAGATAAGAAGTGACCGAGAAGGAAGAGCAGGGGACCAGGAGTCAGGAAGCCTATGCTTTGGGTCTGGACTGCTCATCGATAACTGAACCATTTTGAGTTTCAGTTTCCTGACCTATAAAAGGGGAAGGATTAGACTAGATGATTTTTAAGTCCCCTTTTAACTCCTAAAACTTGTAATTCTAGAGATCCCAACAAAGTCATTTGGTCTCATCC